TTTAGTCCTGGTTTAGTCCATGTTTAGTCTTGTTATAATTCATATTTAGTCCTGTTTTAGTCCTGTCCTGGTTTAGTCCTGATTTAGTCCATATTTAGTCCTGGTTTAGTTCATGTTTAGTCTCGTTGTAGTCCATATTTAGTCCTGTTCTAGTCCTTGTTAAATCCTGTTTAGTTCATGTTTAGTCTCGTTGTAGTCCATATTTAGTCCTGTTCTAGTCCTGTCCTGGTTTAGTCCATGTTTAGTCCTGATTTAGTTCATATTTAGTCCTGATTTAGTTCATATTTAGTCCTGATTTAGTTCATATTTAGAACTGGTTTAGTAAATTTTTTGTTTATTGTAGTCCATATTTAGTGCTTGTTTAGTTCTGGTTTAGTCCTGGTTTAGTCCTGGTTTAGTCCTGGCTTAGTCCTGGTTTAGTCCTGGTTTAGTCCTGGTTTAGTCCTGGCTTAGTCCTGGTTTAGTCCTGGCTTAGTCCTGGTTTAGTCCTGGTTTAGTCTATGTTAGACTTGTTATTGTCCATATTTAGTCCTGTTCTAGTCCTGTCCTGGTTTTTTCCTAGCTTAGTCCGTGTTTAGTCTTGATTTAGTCCATATTTAGTCCTGCGTTAGTCGATGTTTAGTCTTGCTGTAGTCCATATTTAGTCCTGGTTTAGTCCTGGTTTAGTCCTGGCTTAGTCCTGGTTTAGTCCTGGTTTAGTCCTGTCCTGGTTTAATCCTATCTTAGTCCGTGTTTAGTCTTGCTGTAGTCCATATTTAGTCTTGTTCTAGTCCTGGTTTAGTCCTGGTTCAGTTCTGCTTTAGTCCTGCTTTAGTCCTACTTTAATCCTGTCTGAATCCTGTTCATGTTCAGTCCCAGACAGTTTAGTCCTAGTAGACTTCCAAAAAGCATTCCCAAACCTGTATCTTTTATTTTTATTTATCTTATTTATTTTCCGTCTTGTGTGCATGTGTCAGCGCTCGCTGCTGTGATCTTTAAGCCTAAAAATGCCCAGTTTTTATTTGCTGGTGTGAAAATGGTGCCGGGAGCAGAGGAGGCTTGTGTAGATGGAGATGATGTTGGAGGAAACAGCGTGACCTCGAGTAAAGATTCAATTCTTTTCAAAACGTCAACACTCGGGTTTATTTTGCTCCGCTCAGAACTGAACTCTGCCTGCAGCCAATGCAAAAAACTTGTCCTGGTAAAGACAGTATTAATAGTGATGAAAAGAAAATGGATTCTATTTTTGTATAGTGGAGCATTTCTATAAACGTATTTAGTACAGGAGATATTAATGTTGTCAATCTGTAGATCTGTAGGTGCTGCTCAGGCTCATCTACATTTCTTGTGTTTGTGTAATTTATAGTATTTTTTTAATTTAGTTTTTACTATTGATACTACGCAGTGACATCACGCTGGGGGCACTGTACATGTGTCTCCATGGTGGAATATTCAGCTTTTACTGTGGTGAAAGTTTTAACATAGTGTGACAAAGAAAATATAAAATGGAATGGTAGTTTGAAAAATGAACAGCTACCTTTTATGTTCAGTTCAGCAGAAATTGGCACTTCCAAATCTGAAGTTTCCAAATGATTCTAGTGAAGGTGTGTGGAGTTTAAAAACAGGAGCCCTACCTGTATCACCACATGACATCACAAGGTGGAAAAGAGTGTTTTCTGTTTGAGAGAACTTAGCCTAAATATGCAGGGTTTGTGTGTTAAACATGTGTGAATGAAACAAAACACAACTCCAGGTCTGTTTGTGATGAGGAAACATTATAACCAGTGTTGGGAGTAACGCGTTATAAAAAGTAATGCATTACTGTAATGTTCGGCATTACAGGGGAAAAAATTACAATGCTTTTTTTTAACCTGGATTGAAGTGGTGGGTTTTCTTCATACAAATTCGCTAAAATTACCACGATATCAGCAGCGGTGAAACGCCAGAGACGCGCCCGTGTAGACTGTCTGGTGACCACGAGTGAACGAACTCCACACTAACTGCAGCTGACGCCCGATCGCGCCTTGCAGACGTCCTGTTCCACGGACTTGGGGTTCTCTCAGGGGCGATCTTAGATTCCAAGTTCTAGTCCAAGATTAGTCCTGGTTTGGTCCTGGTTTAGTCCTGGTTTAGAACTTTTTTAGTCCTGGTTCAGTTTTCGTTTAGTCCTGGTTTAGACCTTGTTTAGTCCTGGTTCATTTCTGGTTTAGTCCTGGTTTAGACCTAGTTTAGATCTAGTTTAGGCCTGGTTTAGTCCTCAGTTCAGTCCTGGTTTAGACCTAGTTTAGTCCTGGTTTAGTCCTCAGTTCAGTCCTGGTTTAGACCTAGTTTAGATCTAGTTTAGGCCTGGTTTAGTCCTCAGTTCAGTCCTGGTTTAGACCTAGTTTAGTCCTGGTTTAGTCCTCAGTTCAGTCCTGGTTTAGACCTAGTTTAGTCCTGGTTTAATCCGGGTTCAGCTCTGGTTCAGTTTGGTTTAGTCCTGTTTTAGTCTTGGTTTATTCCTGGTTCAGTCCTGGTTTAGTCATGGTCTAGTCCTGGTTTAGTCCTGGTTCAGTCTTGGTTTAGTCCTGGTTCAGTCCTGGTTTAGTCTTGGTTCAGTCCTGGTTTAGTCCTGTTTCAGTCCTGGTTTAGTCTTGGTTCAGTCCTGGTTTAGTCCTGGTTCAGTCCTGGTTTAGTCAGTCCTGGTTTAGTCCTGGTTTAGTCCTGGTTTAGTCCTGGTTTAGTCCTGGTTTAGTCCATATACGGTGCAAAAGTTCAGCATCGTCACAGTTGGCAAGGAGAAAATTCAGTTTGTCGACTGGACAAATGTTCGTTTGATTGAAGACGTTTCGCAGCTCAGATTTGAAGTAACTTGCCCAACAGTGATTATAAAATAGATCAGAACATATGAACCCTTTTAAGATGACACATTAACCGCAAAGCAATGTGATGATGTTGAGGTTTCAAACTATGGCATCCGTCCTCCAGCACAGAAATCACAGAATTAAAATCAAAAAGTTCAAAATCTTTTGAATAGGGAAAGGTCCTCGCAGTCCTTCAAATGGGGACTGAATGACTTGCCTGAATTTCATGAATAGTACTGGTAATATTAGTGAAATTGTCAGTAAAAAGAACTGCCAGTGATCATTTGGAGCATTTCAGCAGGAGCCTGAGGGCAAACACAAAACTGGTCTGAGGCGTCATTGGGCTCCAGGTCACAGCTAGAACACCAGTCATTATTAAAAGGTTTTATTTAAATTGAATGTACAATTAGATCTCAAAGTCCACATTTACTTTGATTAACCAAAAACATGACACAATAAAAGAACAGCAGGTCATAATACATGTATTCATCAGCTGTACCTGATTGTTACTGTCTTGAAAATGTGAAAAGGAGAACAAAGTACAATGATGTGTCCCTGTGTGGTCTGCTGCGGTCATGTGCTGCTCCACACGTTTAACCCTAATGACATTGAAGGATGGATCAAATGCAGAGGACAGATTTTCTCTAATAGAGTATAACTTTAACTTCTCCTCTCTCTCTCTCCTCTATCTCCTCTCTTCCCTCTTTCTCTTCACACTCCTCTTCCCTCTCTCCCCCCTTCTTTCTCTCTCTCCTTTCCCCTCTCTCCTCTCTCCCATCGCTTGTCACTCTCTTCCCTCTCTCCTCTCTCTTCCCTCTCTCATCACCTTCTTCCCTCTCCCCTCTTTCTCCTCACACTCCTTTTTCCTCTCTCCCCTCTTCTCTCTCTCTCCCCTCTCTCCCATCGCTTGTCACTCTCTCCCCTCTCTCATCTCTCTCCCCTCTCTCATCACTCTCTTCTCTCTCTCTCTCCTCTCTCTCCATCGCTTGTCACTCTCTTCCCTCTCTCCTCTTTTTCTTTCTCCTCACACTCCTTTTTCCTTTCTCCCCTTCTCTCTCTCCTCTCCCATCGCTTGTCACTCTCTCCCCTCTCTCATTTGTCCCCTCTTTCTCCTCACACTCCTTTTCCTCTCTCCCCTCTTCTCTCTCTCTCCTCTCTCCCCTCTCTCATCACTCTCTTCTCTCTCATCACTCTCTTCTCTCTCTCTCCTCTCTCTCCCATCACTTGTCACTCTCTTCTCTCTCTCCCCTCTCTTCTCTCCCTTTTTCTCCTCACACTCCTTTTCCTCTCTCCCCTCTTCTCTCTCTCTCCTCTCTCCCATCGCTTCTCACTCTCTCTCCCTCTCTCATCACTCTCTTCTCTCTCTCCCATCATTTGTCACTCTCTCCCCTCTCTCCTCTCTAATATTCTCTTCCCTCTCTCTCCCTCCCCTCTTTCTCCTCACACTCTGCTTTCCTCTTTCCCCTCTTCTCTCTCTCCCTCTCTCTCCCATCGCTTGTCACTCTCTCCCTCTCACATTTCTCTCCCCTCTCTCATCACTCTCTCCTCTCTCTCCTCTCTCTCCTCATCACTCTCTTCTCTCTCTCTTCTCTCTCTCCCATCGCTTGTCACTCTCTTCTCCTCTCTCTTCTCTCTCCCCTCTTCTCCTCTCACACTCCTTTTCTCCTCTCTCCCCTCTTCTCTCCTCTCTTTCCTCTCTCCCATCATCACTCTCTCTCCTCTCTCATCCTCTCTTCTCTCTCTCTCCCATCACTTTTGTCACTCTCTCCCTCTCTCTCCTCTCTCATCATTCTCTTCCCTCTCTCTCCCCCTCTTTCTCCTCACACTCCTTTCCTTTCCCCTCTTCTCTCTCTCCCTCTCTCCCATCGCTTGTCACTCTCTCCCCTCTCACATTTCTCTCCCCTCTCTCATCACTCTCTCCTCTCTCTCCCATCGCTTGTCACTCTCTCCCCTCGCTCATCACTCTCTTCTCTCTCTCTCCTCTCTCCCATCATTTGTCACTCTCTCTCCCCTCTCCCTCCTCTCTTCTCTCTTCCATCGCTTGTCACTCTCTCCCCTCTCTCCTCTCTCATCATTCTCTTCCCTCTCTCTCCCCTCTTTCTCCTCACACTCCTCTTTCCTCTCTCCTCTCTCTCCCCTCTTTCTCCTCTCTCCCCTCTTCCCCCTCTCCCATCTCAGGCTCAGATCTGCAGGTGTGCCAGAGCAAAGGCCCCTCCTGCTGCTCCAGAAAGATGGAGGAGAGGTACCAGACGGCGGCGAGAAACAACATGGAGTCAGGCCTTCAGTCTGTGGGCGCGCAGCTCAAACGCCTCATCATCCAGAACGCAGCCATCTTTCAAGGTAAGAACTAGAGCCAAGCGCGCTGGGAGAAAAATATGTAAGCCTGATTTTTCTGACAAAATACTGCGATTGCTGCTTGATTCACTATTTATGATTTCGATATTCGTGTTCTGTTCAAAGTTCATATTTTAAACATGTCCTGGAGCATTTGAGAGAAGGCTGATTTTGACTTAATTTGGTGAGATAATACCTGTTTATATAAATTATATATCGATACACCAGTCAAGAAGCAGTCTGCGAAGAAAAGTAGAAAAATATGTTGAAAATTACAGGATGCAGAGAGTTTTAAAACATATTGATGACATTGCACTTCCTTTCATGTAAGAAACACATTTTTTCTTAAACATTTCAACAACATAAAGGTGTTTTGTTATCATTTTATTTGTCAGATCATAATTTTATTGTACATGTGATTGCTTGAGGATTGCCAGGTAACAGTTATGGGATTCTGTAGTTTTAATTTTCATTTCATGATTTCCAACCAATCTAAAACAATGGCCAAAAATTTTTTAAAACTTTAAGAAAAAATCTAAAATGTTATGATGTTAAATGTGTTTTAGTCAGATGAGTAGTCCATCCAGCTTCTCTCCATGGAGATGTTGCCTGGAATGTTTCACAGTATGGCATTACTCTTATTTATCTCTACACAGACTGCACCTGATGCTATAGGACCAAGTTACATGTCAGATACGTGGAGAGGCGAGCCCACTCACGGGAAAAATGCAAGTTTTTAAGTCAATAAAAGCCCATATTTTTAAGTAAATGCAAAATACTTACATTTAATGCCATTCCAGACAAAGCAACAACATCGCCACGGAGACAAGTAGATGACTGACCCTTCACCAGAAAAGTTACTTAGGCTAGGTTCAGACTGCAGGGCTTAATGCTCAATTTGGATTTTTTTTTTTGCGAGGTGGTGCACATTTCCAATTAAATGCGACTTGTTTGTGATCTCCAAACTTTAAACGCCCCAAAAGTGTCCTGCCTGCGCATTGGAGGGCACGACGACGTCACATGCAGTAAACGTGCTCAGTGTTTATGGAAGTCGCCTAAACATGGACGTGAGCACTGAGCACCTGGAGATTTTAAAGTTGCTGTTGTACCAGAGCCAGAACATGTACAGCTTATTTGTTTTAAGGAGGAGATTGAGAAGGAGAAGGACGAGGTTTTTGGCCATGGCGCAGTGGCAGCAACATCTGTAGAAAGGAACGTGTGGGTGCGAAGTTGCTGCCAAGAGTGGGGGGATTTCTATGTGCTTCTCTGCTTCACTGACACGGAGTTCATGCACAATTTTCATATGATAAGAAGAACATTTGTGTAGGTTGGATGAATGCGACCTGTCCGTTCAGACTGAAGTCGCAGGTCAAAAGTTCAGGTATGTATCGGTTTTAGGCGCATACATCCAAAGCTACATTCACACTGCAGCCTGAAGTGACCCAAATCCGATTTTTTGGCCCCTGTGTGACCTGTATCTGATCTTTTAATGACAGTCTGAACGACACAGATCCGATTTTTTCAAATGTGACCCAGGCCACTTCGATATGTGCTCCTGAAACCGATACATATCCGATCTTTTGACATGCGACTTCAGTCTGAACGGCCAAAGCGCATTCATCCACCTACACGTTATCAACAAGCCACAAGTCACTATTCTGCACTGAAATAGGTGAAAATTGTTAATGAACTCCGTGTCACTGAAGTGAAGCACATCACCACTCACCACTCTTGGCTACGTCTCCACATCCACACGTTCCTTTCAACGGACATCGCTGCTGCTGCCCCACAAAACACCACGGCCAAAAACCTCGTCCTTCTCCTTCTCAATCTCCTCCTTAAAACAAGTAAGTTGTTCATGTTCTGGCTCCGGTACGAGAGGAACTTTAAAATCTCCAGGTGCTCAATGCTGCGTCCATGTTTGGACAACTTCCGTAAACACAGAGCACGCTCGCTGTGGTTGACGTCATCGTGTCTCCAGTGCACATGCGGGACACTTTCGGGCCGTTTAATGTTCACACTGGAGTCACATACAAGTCGCATTTAATTGGAAATGTGAAGGACCTCGCAAAAACATTGGATTTCACAAAAAAAATCTGAATTGAGCATTAAGCCCTGCAGTCTGAACGTAGCCCAAGTGGCCTGGGTCGCATTTGAAAAATTTGGATCTGTGTTGTTCAGACTGTCATTAAAAGACACAGGTCGCATAGAGGCAAAAAAATTAAACTTGGGTCACGTCAGGCTGCAGTCTGAATGTAGCCTTTGTGCATCTTTAAGGACAAGAATCCCATGCATTTCCAAACTCCGTCCGCAGGGTAAGCATGTTTGTTACATAATAAGATAAGATATTAGTTAGAAAAGAAATACAGTATATGTTAGCTGAATAATTTCCATGAGATTTGCTAATTGTGACTATTTAAACTGCGATTCAGGTTGGATTGTGATGTATGTGTATGTTGCTGGTCTGGTAAGCACAGAGAGACAGTGCTGTGTCTCCTCTCTGTCCCATCTGTGCCAAAGGAAACCAAGCCAAGAAATATCTGTTAATTACCAGCCAGCGTGTCAGCAGGATGTGCAAGCGCGAGTCACCGGTAAATACTGACAAACATAATGTGATGAGACAGGATGAGGGAAATGTAACAGACTGCAAGAAATAAGGAACGTTTATCTTTGTGAAGTTTCTGGAAGTTTGAATATTAATTAAGATTTGAAAGGTTTAGACTGTTATCTTTAGAGGGTTTTCTAGAGGTGTGACAAAATGATATAAATGAACAAACCTTTGCTTGGGGATAAAGTCATTTTGATTTTGAATTGTGATGTGTTACGTGGTTATAGTATTTGGAGTATCAATATGGCTGATGACTGAATCTTTGAGTATTTTTGTCACAGCAACTGTCAAAACTACTCAAATCACATTTAATATTACATTTTAATACATTTTTACAATTGTATTCATGGGGTTCATAATAATTCAGAGCAAGACGAAGCTAGCTGAAGATAGATGTTTTTAAGACAACTGACGGATTTTGATCTGAGAGAGACTTTGTGATCTGAAAATGTACACAAAATCTTCAGCTTTTTGAAATCTGTAGAGTCCTGTCAGCCGAACACGAGCAGTTTGTGTTCACATTGAAGTCTGTGGGAAAAATGCTTCTGGGCTGGAGGGAAGTTTTTCACCGCAGTAGTTAACCAGGCTGGTGCCACCTTGTGCCTCCACTCAATTTCATTTCTCTCCAGTGACTAGGTCAGGAATCAGAATACACTAGATGGTTTGCAAGAACCCTGGAAGTTGTAGACCGCGCAATCACCGAAGAGCTGTGAAGCCATGAGGTCAAACTCAAGCGTCTGTCTGTGCCCCTTTTGTGGAACAGCGGAACAGTAAACAAGATGGAGATGGATGTAGACGAAGACAGACATTCTGTGTTGGCAACGATTCCCGAGATCAAGGATTTAAAGCCGGAACAAAGAGAATGTTTGGTGAATTTTATCAAGGGGAAAGACGTTATTGCCCTTCTTCCTACACGATTTGGGAAAAGCTTTATATACCAGTTAACCCTGTTAACGGTGCAGTACATACATCACGACCAAATAGCAGCGACTAGTTAAATAAAAAAGTACCACCTGCCGTTGAATGAACTAATCATAACCGGCTGATGAATCAGGCTACAATGTAGTGGCCATGAGTCCAAATTTGCGACTAGTGTCATTTTAATGCTAAGGAATAGACTCAATACTGATTCCAATGATAATAAAAATAGAATGTGATTTTCAACATTTTAAAATCATAGTACTTTCTTTTCTTTTCCCATTTGGGCTTATATCTGTGTAATCATTCTAAAGGTATTCATAAAAGACTAATTTATGCCCTGTGACTGTGACATTTTTAGTATTAATCCATAATCAAATGAGTCTCTAGTTTTTAGTATCGATTAGTATCTGAGTTTATATATTTTTGAGAAGCCCACTTGCGACAGGTCTAAGCTAACGATACCCTATTCAGATCTTATAATAGATCCATGGATATTAAGGTTAACTGCAGTTATTTTAACCATGTTAACCATGACACAGAATTTCAATATAGTCCCATGTAGGCCTGTCATGAGAACACGTTTTGAAGTGCGATATATTGCTGAAGTAAAAATAGATGATAAATGATAATATTGAAACTAGTTTATGCCACTGCCACAGAAACCCAAGAGCAGATTTAAACCACAAAAACTATTCTAAATCTGCAATATTGTTAAAAAGTTGCAATAAATAAACAGCAGAATGAAACACTTTAGTATTTCAAATCTGTAATGAGTTACAGAAGTCACTAATTCATCCTTTTACTGCTTAAATCTTATCTTATGGACAAAAAATAACCAAAAATGTCCAAGTAGTGCAAAGAAAATGTTTCATATATTGAAAGATAAGTCGATATAATAATTGCTGTGACAGGACTTGGATATAGCGTGTTAGAAGTGACAGACGTGGAGCCTCCTGAGGTTTTAACACAAAGACCCAGAGCTCAAAGGAGAAAAGGTGTGATGGGTGTGAAGAAAAGAAGAGAAGAGGAGGAGGAGGAGAAAAGAGAGGAGAAAATAGAGGAGAGGGTTTGTGTCACGCGAGTCTCTAAAGCTTTTATTACAGAGCTAAAAGTGTGATCAGGGCTGTGGTGGGAGATCTGTTAGGCTCAGATCAAAACATGCTCTAGTTTTACTCTTTTATGTTTTACAATGACAAAATTTCTCTATTTCTCGTACAAAGCACAGTTTATTTGTTTGTGGTTGTCCATCGTAGCCAAAGATGACCCACTTCTGTATGGTGACTGCAATGCATTTTCTTGCCACTGCCAATGAGATTTCCAAAAATTTATTTTGTATTTATTTAATGGTTCAAGTTTCTTAAAATTTCCAAACTGGCAAAATTCGGGATCAAGAGGTATCGAAGTTTTGTCGATTTTTGGATATGGTTTGGCAAAAGTCAAACCAGAAACATTTTACTTTCACACATGTCCAGGTGCA